TAGGCCTGGAGCATGCTTTGGAGCGAAGTTGCTCAGGGCTTACCACTGTCCTTGAGTTTTTCTTTGTTAGCTCTGCCAAATATATTACTGGAGATTGCTGGAACAGAGATTTTTTTTTCTTTTTTAAATGTATTTATTTATTTGAGAGGCAGATAGAGGTGTGCATCCACTGGTTCACTCCCCATTTGGTCACAGTGGTCGGAACTGTTTCGATCCAAAGCCAGGAGCTTCTTTTGGGTCTCCCACGTGGGTGCAGGGGCCCAAGGACTTGGGCCATCTTCTCCTGCTTTCCCAGGCCATAGCAGAGAGCTGGATCGGAAGAGGAGCAGCCGGGACTCGAACCAGCATCCATAGGGAATGCCGGCACTGCAGGCGGTGGGTGGCTTTACCCTCTACAGCACAGTGCTGGCCCCTGGAACAGAAATTATTTTCTTCATGCGAGAGAATTTAAATGTGAGACAGAGTAGCAGTGCAAGATGTGGCTCCATTATGTTAGGTTTAGCATTTTAGGGTTCGTAGAAGGGGATGAGGCAGCTAGTTAGAAAAGACTTTATTTTAGGGAGGACAGAAGGGGGGTGGTAAGCGAGAAGGGGTTGAGCTCCCCTAGATGAAGGGAAGGTTGGGACGGCAGTGGGGGTGTTGAAGTCAGGCTCCATTGCATTTGAACAGCAGGCAGAGTCCTCTACGAAGCTGCTTATTGGGGGAGGTGTAGGGTGCCACATGCACTCTAAGGTGGGCAGAAGATGAGAGAGAGGCTCCTTGGTGAAGTTATAGTGCATTGTCAGGAGTTTGGAATGTCCCAGCTAAGGGGCTTTCCACAGCAGTCAACATTCTGCTAGCCTTTACACCATCGTTTTGCACCCAGGAGGAGAGAGTGGCAGAACAGAGGAGGAGGGTCAGGAAGAGAGGAGAGGCAATTTGGGCTCTGGTGAGGGAGAGCAGGACAGGGCAAGTAGAGTCCTGAGGTGGTGGCATCCCTGAGGGAGGAGCAAGAGTGGAAGCAGGGGAAGTCGAGGGTTCAAGAGGAGGCTCCAAGCCTGTCTCCTGCGCACGGGCTTGGAATGAGGAAGCTGACCTCAGAGGACAGAAGCTGAGATGCAGGGCAATCAGGTGGGTCTGCCTGAGAGGAGGTTCCAGAGGGTCCTGGTGTGGGTAGGGTGGAGGCTCAGGATCGCAGAGTGCATGGGATCAGGAGAGAACAGTGGGGCCGGCGCCGCGGCTCACTAGGCTAATCCTCCACCTAGCGGCGCCGGCACACTGGGTTCTAGTCCCGGTTGGACCGCCAGATTCTGTCCCGGTTGCCCCTCTTCCAGGCCAGCTCTCTGCTGTGGCCCGGGAGGGCAGTGGAGGATGGCCCAAGTGCTTGGACCCTGCACCCCATGGGAGACCAGGATAAGTACCTGGCTCCTGCCATCGGATCAGCGCAGTGCACCAGCCACAGCGGCCATTGGAGGGTGAACCAATGGCAAAAGGAAGACCTTTCTCTCTGTCTATCTCTCTCACTGTCTAACTCTGCCTGTCAAAAAAAAAAAAAAAGAGAGAGAGAGAACAGTGGAGCATTTCTTATTAGATTATATTTCTGAAGTTCAGTATCGTGGAAGAATGTACGGGTTGATGTTTCATTTGTTCAGTGTAGACTGGTTGGCAGCGCAGAAAACAGTAAGGCCTGCCCCCTCCCACTAAGATTTAACAGTTCAGATGCATCCTTAGGCCAGTTCTCTCATTAGGTTTGCACAGGATGCATGACAACATTGGGGTTGGATGGGGTGGGGGTTCCTGAACAGAGGTTAAAGAGATGAGAGGGGATTTCAGCCAAGTGAAGACGGGGTGCTGCGTGGGTGGTCCAGCTTAAGTGACTTGTGTGTGGGGGCAAAGGCAGGGGTTCATGAATAGTTCACAGGCCATTGTTAGAACAGACCACAGACATAGGGAACGAGGGCCTCATTGTGGCATGCTTAGAAGCATGGGCTGCTTTGCAGAGAGCTGTTGAAGCGTTTTTAGGTTAAAGGAGTGACATGTAACATTTCGGATATATTGCTAAAATAACCATGAAGTCCATATTTCTTTTCTCATCAAACCATAGGGGACAAAAGCATTATTAGGAGTCTCTTGACACCTCGTCACTTTAATGAGACTGTTGAGTACTCAGACACATTGCTAGACTTATTGCTTTGCCTACAGGCTGTGACTCCCAAGGCACACTTTCCAAGCAGTCGGAGACCTTGGGGCTCCCACATCCCAGAAGGGTGTAGGCAGCAGAAAGCCCCTGGATGTAAGGACATGGGATGTACTTTCCAGCCTGGACCCGGAGAGGATAGAAGATCTTGTTCTTGACAACTCTTGTCACTCTGCAGCCCACAGATTCTGCAGGGAGTGGCTTTGCTTTTTCTCAGCACGCTCTTCTCTTGTTCTTTGTTCAGGTGGTTGGGGAGGAGCTTGCTGCAGGTGATAAATGGGGGATGGGGTGGCAATGGATGAAAAGGTGGCAGACAGCCATGACAGAAGGAGAAAATGGAGTGTTTGGGGATAATTCAGGGTCACGCACTTGGGAGTGAAGTCAGGGAAGCTATCCGCAGACTAGGCTGTAGGAGGGAGTAAAGTAGACGGAGCAGAGAGCACCACGCAGCGGGGTGTCAAGAGCCGAACTGAGTGGAGCCCCAGGTTCAGGAAGGTGGCCTGCGTTCTGATTCTCTGAGACCAGTTTCTGCCCAGGCAGTGCTGTCGCCGTGAGGGCTCCGGCCCAGTGGCTGACCTGGGGAGTTTCCCTCCACGGCTCACCTGGGAGGGCCTCTGGCTGGAAGAACTGTCCCATGAAAAGTGCTTCCAGCAGCAGCCCATGGCAAGGAGAAGTGTTCTGGGAGGGCGTAATAATGGGCTGTGAAATTCATTCTCTCATTCCCTTTCCAAACCGAACTTCCCCTGAATGTTTCATGATTCCTTATTGCTGAGCAATAAAATATTAAAATATTTTTAGAAGCCTTTGTCGTGAGTTGGAGATCTTATCAGAAACCTTCCCCCAGTACGTAAGTGAATGAGGTTTTTAAACAGTAACCAAAAATTCCTTTTAGGTAACTGCTACCTACACACTTGTGTGTAGAATTCACACATCATAAGCAGGGCAGGTATTTAAATTGAACTAACCACGTTTTTTCATGACTAATGTGACCTGTCAATAATCATGTGTGAGTTTAGCACAGTAGTTCCAACCAGGCTTTCTTCAAGACTCCTTGAACTGTGTTATTTGCTTTTTCACTTCACCTAAAACTCAACCTCAGTTTAATGGTGTCTGTAAATCCCTGGGCCAGCGGAGGAGATTCTCTTGCTAATGAGGAGGAAGCGGGCAGCGTGTGGTTTATATTCAGCAAAGGCCACCTCAGTTGAGGACACCACCATCCTTTAGAACCGCCATCTGGACGCGAGCGGACCGCACAGCCCATCTGAGGCTTCCGCCAAGTCCCACCTCTGCCATCTGCAGGGTCAGGGTCACGCGGCAGTGCTCACGTGTGGGCTCTGGGTTTTTTGGTGTTTTCTTTCTTTCTTTCTTTTTTTTTGGTCAATTTAATGCCACTCTGCTTTCTTCAGTTTGTGTGTGGTATGTGTGTATGAGTGGAACACCTGTCTTTTTATTCTAGTTATTCCCCCCCCATTTAACCCATTATGCCCCAACTTCCTGTGTACATGTGAAACCTTTATAAAGACTTAAATTGGGCAATATGCCACTTATGAAATATTTGAAATAAATACATCATTGAAATACTTGCAGAATTGAAAACTTGACTTAATAGATTACTGGGAATATTCTAGACAGACTTTTCAAATCAATATCAAGAAAGTTTGATTTGGGGTATTTGAAGAGCTCACAGAGATAACTGCTGTCATTAGAAAATTAATCATTTATTATTATGTAATTTACCAAATAGAGAACTTAGTTATGAAATTTTGGGACTTATATACGTTGATTTCAGTCAGGTGGCGTTCAAAACAATTATAATCCAATTTATCCCTTTTTTTCCCTAAAATTTATTTATTTGAAAGACAGGGTGACAGAGAGAAACCTTCCATGTCTGGTTTATTCCTCAAATAGCTTCAATGGCCATGGCTGGTACGGGCCAAAGCCAGGGGCCTGGAGCTCTATCTGGGTCTCCCATGCTGGTGGCAGGGGTCCAAAATACTTGAGCCATCTTCTGCTGCCTTCCCAGGAGCATTAGCAGGGAGCTGGATTGGAGATGGAGCAGCCAGGACTCAAGGCGGTGCTCCTGTATGGGATGCGGGCATCTTACGCAACAGCTTAGCCTGCTGTCCCACGATGCTAGCCCCTGAAGCCGATTTATCCTACTGCAGTTGTACTGAATAGGTATCTCCATATCTGTGAGGTAAACAAGTGTGTGTGTGTGTGTATGTGTGCATGTATGTGTAGCCACATATACGTTTCCTTTTTGCAGGTCTCTTTGCTTTGTGCCTGTCCATATTCAGAGAGCGTGATGAAGAGAGGTTTCTAGGGGGTTCTGCTCTGGTGCTTGACAGAAGTGTGCCAGTCTCAGTCTCAGCCATGCTAGAAAATGAACACTCATCTGATTTTCCAGTGTGTCAGTTGGGCAATAAATTTTTGTGGTGTCTACTGCGCTCTCATTTTCATCCTCAAGGACTAGAAGCCCTTCACAATTGATCTACTGTAGTGCACAAATGAATCTGAGTGGAAAAAAATACACTGTTGACTCAAATAGATGATTGCGATTAGATAACATAGAGGACACAGCACAGAGCACAGGTTCTCAGCCCCAGCATTGTCAAGTGGAAAGAATATGGGCCCAGTACCCCCAGTGCTACTTGTAGGCTCTCCCAGGCCAACGTTAGGGTCTCTCTCTTGCCCTCTTCACTTCAGAACAGGCTGGGTGAGGTCGAGTTGAATGACCTCAAGACGCCCTTCTGTCTCTGAACGTCTTGTCTGTGAACTCTGGTGAGTCCGTATTCACTCCTGAGTTGCTGTGATGTCTCCCCAGGGTGTCACCTACTGTGGAGCAAGTTCGGCAAGCAGTCTGACCATGGCCAACGTGCCCTGGCACGAGGAAGTCGTCCGGTTTGTCCGCGAACTGGTGGAGCTGATCCCTGACTATGATATCGCCTGTGAGCACGAACACTCCAACTGCCTCCTGATAGCACACAAAAGGGTAAGGACGTGCAAACCTGAGCTTTTCCTTCCCCTCATCCTCGCTGCTGCTTTCTTCTTTCTGAGTTCTCCTCGTGCTGCGATAGGAAATATTGTGCTTTCTGCTGCCTTTCCTAAACCAAACATGAAGAAAGCCCTAAATTCTGTCTGTTGGGTTCATAGGCTCTCTTCTGTGTGAAATTGCTGCTTATTTAGCCCTCATCTGGACATCATGAAGTACTTTCTGGCTTGGAATTTTTAGAAAGGAGCATAGTTTAAAAAAAAAAAAAGAAGAAGAAGAAGAAAGAAAGAAAGAAAAAGAAAACACCCTTGAGATAACCTCTAGTCTTCCTGGAGTGACAGGGAAAAGCTAAAATAGTAAACAACCCCCCTATGAATTTCCAGCTGTCAGAAGGAATACTGAGGTGTTTATCAAATTTCAGATGGCTTTGAATTTTGGCATCTAGAGAATTTTGTTTGGGATTTTAGTTCTTGGCATTATTTCCATTTTTTCCCCTTTTAGTGTTGTTGGTTTGTTTTTTTGTTTTTTTTTTTTTTACCACAGAACAATACCCAAGTCTAATGTCTGCCTTGAGTCAATAGTGCCTAGCAAGGAAATAATCCAGTTTTGGAGAGAAGCAGTACAGTAAAATAAGAAGAAAAAACCCTTATCAGGATACCAGTGTTAGTGTGGCTATGGTAGTTCTTATATCCAGCTGAATTAATATGCTGTGTCTGGGGTTGGACTCAAAATAATAGCAAGGCAAGGAGTACATGCAAGTTGTTGAGACTAAATGATGTCCTCCGAGGGCCAATGCTGTGGTATAGTAAGCTAAGCCTCTGCCTGCCTGCTAACACTGGCTTGTGTCCCAGCCACTCCTCTTGTGATCCAGCTCTGGGCTATGGCCTGGGAAAACAGTGGAGGATGGCCCAAGTGCTCCTGCACCCACTTGGGAGACCTGGAGAAAGCTCCTGGCTCCTGGCTTTAGGTCAGCCCAGCGCCTGTGGTTGTGGCCATTTGTGGAATAAACCAGCAGGTGGAAGACCTCCCTCTTTGTCTCTCCCTGTCTGTGTCTGTAACTCTGCCTCTCAAATGAATAAATACATCTTTAAAAAATAAATAAAGGATATCTTCCTTAAGGTTCATTGTACCACACTGGCTACCTCCTCTTCTCATGTAAATGTTTTATGCAAACAAAGTCAGGCTTGATTTAAATATGAAAAACCCACCTCCCACCATCCCCACATCACATCACCCAGTAGCCTAAGTGGCTTCTTGGTGGCTAGCTTCTCAGGTTACTGTAAACTTTGGCATGCTCTAGTCTCAAATAGAAGGTTGAAAAGCCCCTGTGCTTTCATTGAAGTTAGACTGTTTGTTTGACCTGTGATCTGTCAGAGACTTAACCATGGTTCTGGGAGCATCAGGAGACAGAGAAGGCCACCTAGTATTTGAAATGTTAATTAAAGTAGCCACAAAGAAAATTAACTTCCCCAAGTAAATCTTAAAAATAAAAATGCCAGCCAGTGCCGTGGCTCACTAGGCTAATCCTCCGCCTGCGGCGCCAGCACACGGGGTTCTAGTCCCAGTCGGGGCGCCGGTTCTGTCCTGGTTGCCCCTCTTCCAGTCCGGCTCTCTGCTGTGGCCCAAGAGTGCAGTGGAGGATGGCCCAAGTCCTTGGGCCCTGCACCCCATGGGAGACCAAGAGAAGCACCTGGCTCCTGGCTTCAGATCAGGGCGGTGCGCCGGCCGCAGCGCGCTGGCCGCTGCGGCCATTGGAGGGTGAACCAATGGCAAAAGGAAGACCTTTCTCTCTGTCTCTCTCTCTCACTGTCCACTTTGCCTGTCAAAAAAAAAATGCCAAAAGCTGATTTTTCTTTTCTAGCATCATTACTTTCTAAAGTAAGATGATGACTTAAAAAAGTTATTTGAGGGGCAGGCATTATGGCGCAGCAGGTTAAGCAGTTGCTTGAGATGCCCACATCCCATATCAGAGTCCCTGGTGCTCTGATTCCAATCCAGCTTCCTGCTAATGTGCCTGAGAAGCAGTGAATGATAGTCCAAGTACTTGAATTCCTGCCACCCACATAGGAGACCCAATGGAGTTCCTGTCTCCTGGCTAAGCCTGGCCCTGCCTCAACTTTTAGGCAAGTTAGGGAATAAACAGTGGATAGAAGATTCTCCCTCTGCCTCTCCCGCTCACTCTCTCGCTTTCTCGCTCTCTCGCTCTCCCTCTCCTTGTCACTCTACTTTTCTGCTTTTCAAATAAATAAATCTTTTTAAAAATAATTTGGTTGAAAAGGCCATCCTAGGGGAGTAATCCTAGGGAGGTAAAGTCCTCTCTTCCTCCTTACGGTAAGCCTGTTCTTCACACCACAGCAGAAGACATCATAATAGAGTATAGACTTCTGCTGCTTAGAAAGTCAGAGTCTATAACGTGACCCTCTGTGGTCAGCCTTGGCCTGGCTTCTTCCAGAATAGCTCTGCCGTCATCCTGCACCCAGCAACACCGTACTTTTTACCTCCTGAAGCCCCTAGGTCTTGTCTGCCCTCCAGTTAGCTTGCAGATTAAATCACTTTTTGTTGTTCTTCCTTGAATGGTTGCCCTAGAGATTATTACATTTATCCTTGACTAATCAAAGCTACTGTTACCCCTTAGCTGTGTAAAAGCAAGGACTTTAGAACACACACCCATCGTTTTCCCCATGCTGATTCACCCGCGTATGTTCTTATGAATATTTATTATAAATGGGTAAGGAATAATATTATTATTTCTTTATGCAGTATTTGTTTAGATTTATCTACAGTATTTATTTATTTGAAAGGCAGAGTGACAGAGAAAGAAGGAGAGACCGACAGAGATCTTCTCTGTGTTGGTTCACTCTCCAAATGCCCACAATAGCCGTGGGTAGGCCATGCTGCAAAACCTGGAGTCACAACTTCATCTGGGTCTCCCTTGTGGGTGGCAGGAACCCCCGTACTTGGACCATCAGCTGCTACATCCCAGGTGCTCTTGCAGGAATCGAGATCAGAATCTGAGGCAGGACTCAATCCCAGGATCTCTGATATATGGGTCGTGGGCATCCCAAGTAGTAACATAACCTACTACTTCGCCTGCCCTTTATCTACACTTTAAACATTGTTTGTGCTCTCTGTTCTTTAGGTATCTTTGTTTTTTATTTTTTTTTTAATTTTTTATTTATTCATTTATTTATTTTTTTGGACAGGCAGAGTTAGACAGTGAGAGAGAGAGAGACAGAGAGAAAGGCCTTCCTTTTTCTGTTGGTTCACCCCCCAAGTGGCCACTACGGCTGGGCGTGTTGCGGCCGGTGCACTGTGCTGATCGGAAGCCAGGAGCCAGGTGCTTCCTCCTGGTCTCCCATGTGGGTGCAGGGCCCAAGCACTTGGGCCATCCTCCACTGCACTCTTGGGCCACAGCAGAGAGCTGGCCTGGAAGATGAGCAACCGGGACAGAACCGGCGCCCCAACTGGGACTAGAACCCAGGGTGCCTGCGCCACAGGCGGAGATTAGCCTAGTGAGCCGCGGCGCCGGCCTTTAGGTATCTTTGGTATTCCATTGAGGATTATTTTCCTTCTGCCCCAAGAACATCCTTTAAAAATTTCTTTTAGAGGATCTGCTGACAGCAGACTCTATTTTCTGTCATTCTGAAAATGTATATTCTGGTTGGGTCTAGAATCCTAGATTTGCATTTGTTTTCTTCCAACGTAATAAAGAAATTCCCTCTTTAAATTGCATTGGTAAAAAGCTGTGAATTTGTTGCCATCCCCACCTGCTCGCCCTCACCTCCCTCTGACTGTTCCCACTCTACCCCTTGGGTTTTATGCTGTGTTGTGTCTGGACGTGCACTTCCTTTTATTTCTGCTGCTGGGGACTCCTTGGGCTTCATAAATATATGAAGGGTTGACCATTCCCTCAGTTCTGGAAAATTTCTCAGCCTTTTTTTTCCTTTAATTTTTTCCCCCTCATTATCTTTACTCCTCTTGGACTCCATTAGGTCAGAGCTCATGGTATTTTCTGTCTCTTGCTTTCTCATTTGTATTTTTTCTTTGTTTCAATATGCTAATCCATTTTGTCAAATTTTCCATTCCCTGTTAGTTTAGTTTCCAAGTTTAGCTTTTATATTCTTGAATATTTGGAAATAGAGTTGTTTTATTATTTGATCCAGTCACCCTGAGTATCTGTAGTCCCTGTGGATTTGATTCCATTGTCTGGTTTTTACCCATATTGTCTTTTCATGCACCTTGTTACCTTTGGTTGAAAATAGGACTTGAAACTGATATGGGTGGTAAATTAAAGTCCCATATCAATTTCAGGCCAGTTCAGTTCTCTGAGAGTTTATTGACTTCCTGCTGAGTTCTGGAAGTAGTCTGTGCATCAGGGGACACACTGCCCAGACATGAAGAATGGAAAGCACACAGAAGTCACAGAAGAATGGACTTTGCTCAACTCCTACACCATCTCTTGTTAACTAGGTGACACTGCAAGTTGTTTAATTGTTCTGTGGTATCATGAATAATTAAGAGGTTATTTTCAGTCTAGTTGATTAGGGTTGGACTGTTAGCTCCTTTGTCTTTCTAGTTTTTCATGTAGAAAATGAGCATAGTGATACCTAAGACTGTTATCAGGAAACCCTTAATACAGCACCTGGCTCATGGTGTGGTTGAATGATTGCTACTTCAGTTACTGTTATGTTTCTTATTTATAAAAATAGCTGATTTTGTTAGTGCTTAATATGCAGCAGATACTGTCAAGTATATTTTTTAATCCACACAATAACTCTGTAAATTAGGTTCTTTTGAAATCTGTGTTTCATGGGTGAGAAAACTGACATATTTAGGGATTAAGTAACGTGTCCAAGATGAGATAGCCAGAAAGTAGTAGAAATGAGATTTAAGTCCAGGCGTCTGACTTCAGACCATATACTCCCTTCCTCCTTTGCTTTTGTTTTAAACTGGGAAATTATCAAATTCACAAAAAAGGATAATAATAAAAACAATACAAA